CGGGGAGCGCGGGGAGCGCGGTTCGCTGACTGGGCCTTGCTCCTTGTAGGTGTTACCGCTTGGTGCCTGTGCCGCCGCCGCCGCGACCCCAGCGAGATGCAGAACGACGCCGGCGAGTTTGTGGACCTCTACGTCCCTCGGAAGTGGTGAGCGGTTCCCCGCTGCGGGGCCGGTGCCCGAGGAGAAGGGCTCTCGGCGAGAACCAGAGCAGGGGCCGATACAGTCTGTGCAAAAGCGGGGGCTTTGCAGCAGCGAATAGCTCTGAAACAGATATATATATATATGTTTTCTACCTGTTTCTGTTTTTAAATGCTTTATATAAAATACACGAAGCCAAGACTAAATATAAAGCGATTACTGTGCATCTTCTGTTTGTAACTGCCGGTGTTACAGCAGCAGCACAGCTCTTGGGTGGCTCATTCCAAGAGGAAATATGCTGGTTTGTAGCTACAAGCACAGTGAACCTGTGAAGTGCGCACTTATTCCTTGATAGCACACCTTAAGTACAGTGTTGAGATTATAGTAGGTGGACAGTGGGAAACCTTTTACATGCGTGTTAAGCAGTAACAACAACAAAAAGCTAAAGCTAAACCATTTGTGTGCATTTTATTAGGCTTAAGTCAAATGCTTTTCACAGCCTGTGATTTCTGGGGCTTTGCAGCCTGAGTGCTCTTTGGCAGCTATAATGGCTCCCCATGAACTGCCTTCTCATCAGTTACCTTGGTTGCTGTATTTGTTGTGCTTTAGAAAAGAAAAACTTGATATTCTCTGTGATTTGAAGGCCTGTGCTGACATGTATCCACTGTAGGGGTGAACTGGGCATATAGAAACCAAGGTAAAGGGTTAATTGGTAACTTAGCATGACCCTGCCAAGTGAAGTTCTCCTTTAAATGTACTTAAAAGTGTGGTTTAATTTTCTGAGCACTGAAAGCTTAAGTTTTTTTGTCTAAACTTCTTGTGAAGCTTTAATTTGCATGTAGATTTGACTTTAATAGTGGGTTTCTTTCATTGTTATTGCCCATTTCCTTTGTTTAAGTGCATTTGTTGGTTTATTCCTTAGCTCTGCTAGCAACCGAATAATCGGCGCTAAGGATCATGCTTCTATTCAGATAAATATTTCTGAGGTAAGTTGTATACCAAATATGTGGTGAGAGCTGCACCTTTAAACTTTGGATAGAAGTTAAGGGATAGAACAGCTTGTGATGCATCCCCAAATAATTCACTAGAGACCATGTAAGTGCAGAGCTTGAGAGCTTACACACAGATGGGTGTAATACTGTGTCACCCCTGGTTATTTTCAGCCTATTGGAAAATATTCATTAGAGGAAAAGCTCTGTACAGTCTGTTCTAGGGCTTAACAGTTTGACGAAATACAACTTCCTAACTCTACATATTTACTGTTATAAATTAGGGAATTCCTTGCCCTGAAGGAAAGGAGAAGAAATGCTTGCTCAGGGGGATTCTTCCACCTTCTACCTTCACCTGGCTGTAAGACAGTACCATTCTTCAGGGTGCACAAGGACAGCCTGTTCTTAAACTTTTTTATTCGTGTTGATCTTCTCTGTGCTTTTACTAGTTTGTCCAAACTCAGAGATGGAGTTTCCAGAGCAGAACTTCTCTGTTTTGCTTGAATTGTGTTTGTTAATGCTTGTTACTGCTGCTCCTGATAGATGGCCAGTTAGTTTGTGTGCTTTCTGTGCAGCATTATCATTTCACTAACTCACTGCTCGGGGTATTGGTGCTTAGAATTTTCCCTGAGACACGCTGGTTATTTGTGTTGACCTGGTATTATACCTTTAGGTTTGTTTCTGTAACATAACGAATTTGTTCCTGTCTTAAGTTTAATTTAATCAAGGTAGCATTATTGCAAAGGCCTCCAAGCTTAACACGTATGCTGAGAAAACCACAGCAGACCTTGATTTCTGCAGGATCCCAGTTAATGCACATGGGCTCCAGTTAAACTCCTTTTAGCATGCTTTTTTTTTCCCATTTATTTATTGGTACTTGCCTTGCAGGAATTCTATGGACACAGTGTTCCTGTACTTCCTTGTGAGCTCTATAGCTTAATTTATTTCTTCTTGAATGGGAGACAACAAGACTGACAAGACTGTATTCCCGTATTTTTAACACTGAGGCTCTTGTATTACCTGTCTGACTAAAGAAATAACTTTTTAAAAGGTTTTGCTGCTGAGTTCCTGTAAATACTTCTCTGCTTCACCATGTTTCATTCCTTCAGTGACCCCTACTTCTTGTTTTCAAAGGATCAGCAGAATTAAAAAGCAAACCCACATGGTATCACAGGGTGCACTACACTGTTTAATTTCACAATTTCTGTTGTTTAGTCTTTTCTTCCTGTTTTTCAACAACTGCAGGAAATGAGACAATTTGTGTCTCAGAGAAGCTTTTCTACCTGTGTAACAAAACTGTCCCCTTCCCTCTTCACTTCAGTTTTCTATAATACTGACCTTAATTAAAAGAAACATGAAAGAATAGCAAAGGCAGTAATACCCACAAGGGAACTTGACACTGTTCAGGTTTTTCAGAACTCAAATATTTTCTTCTTTCAACTCCATTTTGTATTGTATTCTTGTTATGGTGTGTGGTCATTTTATAGCTGCACTATGTAATTAACTATCAATTCACTGGGAGAAGATACTCTATAGGTGTCTTTCGAACTTCAGTATTTGCTTTATTGTTTTGTAGCTTACAGAAACATATTTGCAGAGTAAGAATCTGCGTGGAGTAACTTGCTTGTAATTCCAGGTTGACAAGGTAACGGGCAGAGTAAACGGCCAGTTCAAAACATACGCCATCTGTGGACCAATTCGTCGAATGGTGAGTGCTTCTTGGACCTCCAAAATGCTTATGCTTCCTTTTATATTGATTAGGAATTGTTTAGATTTAGATTTGGCCCTGGAAACACAGTGTGCCTTCAGCTCATTCCAGAGGGAGAGCTTTTGTGGGGATAATGATGACAGAGTGAAGACATGAACAAATTCACTCGCAGGAATCGGCTTGTTCTGGTTATTTCTTAATCCTTCAGTTTGTACAATTTTGTATGTTTAGTTTTTAAAAATCACTGAAGGATGCAAGTAATTTAGTTTTTCCTTTTAACGTACCAAGTTACTAATATCTGGCTTTTATCTGTTGTTTAGAATTATTAGAGATACCACCATGACTTAAATTTATTAAACATGGTGTGAAGCTTCCTGGAGTTTGTCAGAAGTCTACTTATCATGAAATATATCTCACTAATGCAAGTGTATATTTTATCAAGTTAAAACTATTTTCTTATCCTAAAGGATGTCAAAGAATTTAACAGCTTGTTTTGAAAATGCTAATCTGTGCATATAAAACGTAGTGATCTGGGGAAGACGCTGTGCAGTTCAGTACCAGCATTAAATGCTGCAGCTGCCTCTCTTTTTAATGTGTATTGGCAATTATTTGGTCACTTCAGAATCATTTCTCTTTGTTTTTTTAAAGGGTGAATCAGATGATTCCATCCTGCGTCTGGCAAAAAATGACGGAATTGTTTCCAAGTATGTATGTTTATCTTCTCCTCTGACTCCTGAAGGGGTGATTTCCATACCCAAATCCAGCTTTTAAGAGGAAAATGTATACACTGTAGTTACAGTATGATTACACAGTTGGACAAAAATATTTACCTGAGCTGTAGAAGCAAACTAGCTTATAACAATGTTTGTTTCATTTTCTTCTAGGAACTTCTAACTGAAGAAACTCTGGTATGGAACATCTGATGTAAAATAAACACTTCAGACCTATATCGTGCTGTGTCTTTGTTCAAGTCATAAACATCAGTGGATTTATTGTAGTTGGTCTTAAAAGACTTAGGAATGTGTGTCGTCAAAAGATATACAGATTCTGATTATGAATTCGTCAAACAAATCAGCTTGTAAAGCAGTGCCAGAGTTGAAAGTGAAGAATTTCTACTTCACTCTTTGCTTTACTATCATCTTTCTTTTCCAGATTTAGTAAGTTTTTAGCTATCTAATTCAGCTTGCTGCTTTTTCACTGGAAAAACCAAGGGGGTTATTTCGGTTGTGAAATCAAAGTTTAGTGGCTTTTCTGCTGATAAAGGCTCACAATACTTATTCTGCCATTGACACATTCTTTCAGCAAATTACTAAAACTGGAATTCATGGAAAACTCTTACAGAAATACTTGGCGTGCTGGCAGATTGATTGCCATGTGAGAGAGACTTAAAAGTTTTACCTTTTTACTCATAAAAGACCTTGATGTTGGAAAGGAGGAAAATAATTTCAGGAGAAATAAATAGAGTATTTGGCAGTGTTTTAATAAATTACTTAATAAGCCCTTTAATGGCTACATAGACTGTCTGCCTGCTAATGTGGGTGGAGTTGGTCGGGGTTTTGGCTGTCTTGCTAGCAGAACCAAGAGAGCAGGCAAGTGGTTTGATACTACATCTTGACATTGTTTCTCTTACCCATCAGTTCCTTTTCTCTGGGTAATTTCCATCAATGTGATTTTGAGCTCACACACACACAAAGTTTTTATCACATGGTTTGAAACAGTTCCTTCACAAGGTTTTACCTGTGGTACTTCTGGTGTTTAGTTTTAATTTGAACCGGTTGGTTTTCTGATAATGTAAAGCTGCTGTAGGTACTGTGACAGAAAAATAGGTATTGGCTCAGACTATGCTGATAATCAAACCACACACTTGGCTGAGTTGTCAGCAGGCATTAACTTTGGATACACCCAGTATCTTGGAAGTAAAGTTGGTTATCTGCAAGGCTGAGGTCAGAGATGGGCCGTCAAACTGAAGAGTTTAAGAAAACCTACAAATCACCCTGACCTTGCAGCACTGTATCCTGACACCTCTGAGCTTCCTCCCACTTTCTGTGCCAGAACACCAGAAATAATATTGTTTCATGGCCGTTTTAGTTTGTGTCTTTGATCAGCTCTTCACATTGGGCTGGATTGCATTTGGGAAATGGGATGCTCAAGGTGCTAGAGCTGCATTGATGAACTCTTGGGGTCCCACCTCTTTCTAGTGGGTGCTTCCAGCAGTGTTCTGACCTTGTTATGTCTTAACAGCATTAAGCACTGTATTAAATTGCAAAAGCTCTCCACAGTCTTCTTTCCTGTGCTGTGCAGAAATAGAGAAACAGAATTGCAGCTAGAAATAACTGCTGGCACTAAGAGAGGGAAGGATGTCCAGAGCAGGCACTTAATACTTTTGTGTCTTAAAATGTCTAGTTAAAATCATTGGTACCTCTATTGGGAAAAGAGATTTCTGAGTTACTGTTGCTGTAGTTCCATAGGGTCTTAGAAGGATGGTGTGGCTCTAATTCTACAAGGACTTAAAAGCCTGATGATGTCCAAGAAAAGGCAATATCCCTTCTTCCAGGTGCTGCCTTTGTGTTGGTGGATTTTGTTAGCACATACAGGGTTTATTTCTCAGCTGGTGCTTTATCACTTAATTAAAATGTTTTGGTAGTTTTAAAATATACTAGTGTGATACGCCTGGTATTGATCATTTCTATTGTTAGCCACATTTTACCTAGTTTGTGATACTTATAACTGCACACAGGCTGTCCTTCAGGTTCTATGTTCTGAATTCCTCAGTTCTCAGGAATTACTGAGAGGTTATATCCAGATGATACTGTGTTTGCTCCCGTGTGATCATCTCCAGGACAGTGTTTGCAGTCACTTAAATCTCTCATTGGCCCACTCTCAAAGTTTTCTCAAGTGATAGCAAGTGTTCTGGTGATGCTTTCCTGTTTATGCTGTAAGCTGTCTCTGTGTAGAGCTGGTTACCATGTGGCTTGTTTCTAACTTGATTGCATGTTACTGTGGGTGTGAGAAACCAGCCTCAGACTTCTCTCAGGAGAGCCTGGAGCAGGGATGCTATCGCCTCTGAGCTGGGGAGGGTGGGCAGAACTACCCACGTGTAGTATCTTTCCCCTTATCTGTGTTTTTCTTTCTTAGACATGTCAGGATATTTCTTTGACACCATGGCTATCTGTTGAATCTAAGCATAGCAAATGTGTAATTCCACTGTGGTGTTGGTTTCTAATTTGAGTTAGGGAGGTTCTTTCCAAATCATAGATTAGGATTTCAGGTGTAAGCCACTGTACAGATACAAAGTACAAAACTAAAGCTTTGTTTCAGAAGCAATTTCAGTAGAGAAGACTGAAATCAGCAAGCTGTTAGCCCTTTTTAGCATGGCTATAAACTATAAATCTTTGATTGCACAGGCTGTCTTCCCACTGATAAGACTTGAATTTACTCATCCTCCTCCAAGCTGATAGAACTTCTAATAGATAAACTCCTGGATGTTCCAAGTGAGAAGGAACTCAGCTAAAAAGACCAAAGAAAGACTTAATGTTGAATTAATTTTGAACTTAGTAGTACAGAAAGCATGTGAAAGTTACCTTTTAAATAGCACAAGCAGAAAAAAAAAATACACTTTATTTTTGAGCTATTTTCTTCTGACATGTAAGTCAACCATGAAAGATGCATTAAAAAAATGGGAGGGGAGACGGGACTGTTAGTTGTGATTCTCCTGGAAATAATTCATTTTTCCAGCAGATAAATCTCTGAAAACACTCTCTGGAAAGACAAATACAGTCTCCAAACTGGAGAGATTTCAGCTTGGCTTATGTCCAATCCTCATTACTTTGTGCACAGTAAAAGGAGATAAGTTTTAATTGGACTTTATGTTTCTTTCTGGCATATCTTAAATTAGCTACTTCTGCCTTGGCGTTAGGGTAGAACTTTAAATAAACCCAGTAACTGTTTACTGCTGATAAATGCCTATTTACTAAAGAGTTTAAATATTGTTGACTTGCTTCTAATCCCCTTGGGACTCTGTTCATCTATGTGGATTTCAGTGGAATTCCTCCATAAGGCAAAATGAACTGACAGCTTAAAAGTTTAAGATGAACTTGAGGTCTCTCAGATGTCTTCTTCAGCCATTAAACTCCATTAGCACACAGCTATACTATAATTCACACTGCTCTATCGATTAAGCATTGAAGTTGTAATTTAAAACTCTCTTTGTTTTGAATACTGATAGTTGCCTTTTGTTTTTCAGACTTTTCAAAATTTGAAATTAATTGCTTTTTGATTAATTTCTTGTCAAAATAAGCTTATGAAATCTTACAGTACCATATCCTAAACCCTAGTTCATCTGGAAAAGGATTAGTGCTGTGCTAAAGGCTTCCTGAAGTTCACGCTGTCTTCACCAGCGAGACTGCAGGGCACACGAGGTCTAAAAATTCCTGTAGAATCCTAGCAAGGGAGCACACGTGTCCCTTTAAAAATCCATTTTGAGTTGTATTTTCTAGTATTGTGATGTAAAATGCTCTTTGTTTTCCTGGGACAGGAATAGTTCAGACCTTGTAGAGCCATGAAAGGGAATGAACTGTACTTGTACTGTACAAGATGGACAGAGTTGCCCTTACATGGTTACACTGCACCAAGTCGTGAGATTCTTTTCTGTTACTTACGAGGACTTGGCAGTGGCATCCTAAAGACATCTGATTTAACCGGGGCTATTTTAAGTGTCTTTGACCAAAATCTTGCTGCTCAGACAAGAGCCTATCTGCTCCTTAAAACACCTGCTTTTCTGGTAGGAGCTTCTGGATGTCTCATAATTCTAATTTTTCCTTTAAGTCTTTATGTTCTTTTCATGAACTACACAGTGTTGTAGAGCTGCTTTAGTCAATCTCAGCTTTAAGTGTGTTGTGATCAGAGGTCTGGGATGGGAGGCTGCTGCACCTCCTGTTGCTGAGGGCACAGAATTAGCAGTTTTGATAACATCACCCTTGCTTTCAAGGTGCCAAACAAGGCACAACGCTGCCAAGGCTGGGGGAAGGTAAAAGGCAACATGATTCCCTGGCATCACTCGTGTGCACGGCAGAAAGGAGCGCTGTGCCTTAGAATAGCAATGAAAAAGCCAAGAGCATCTTTTGCCTTCGTGTGCATCCATTACTGCAGCTCTCTGCTTCCTGGCTCCAGCTGCCAAGGACTGCATGGAGCAGAGGCTGGCTTTCCAGTGCTCCCTACAGAAAGGAAGCTGGGACAGCTTGCCAGGAATATCATGTATTTTCCTAAGGCATGCAGCGATGCTGGAGGCTGCTGACAGCCTACCTAGAGGACTGAGCTGAGCTCTTACACTAGGTTTGGCAGCGGTTTTGTTTTCCAGCGGGATGTTCAGGAGATCTGCCTATTCCCATCTCCTGTTTTGTTCGCTTTTGGGGATGCACAGAGATAAAAACCCCTCTGCTGCAAATATTCCTTTGAACAGGTCAAGGGAGGTTTTGATTTTAGTTAATTCATTGATCGTTTGCATTGAGGCATCCCACGGGAAGCAGCTTCCCCGTATGCACATTGGATTAATCAGCCATGGAAAGAAACCACAGAAAACTAATCAGGCATTTTTTCCTGCTGGGAAATACCCTATTGTTTAATATCAGACAGAGGTTCTCCATTAAATAGTTCCTTCCTCAATAGGAACGGCAGGTACTGAAGTTTTAAGAATTAGGAGCAGTAATAAGGTCAATGTGATGATTTTGTAACCTATTATGGTTAGGGCAGAAAATAACATGGAAAATCTTGTAGGCGAAGGGGAAAAAACTGGGAAAATTAAGGAATTGCTTATTAAAGCAGAGCTGGACGGTGAGAAACCTCCACCAGCCCCTGTCCCAAGGCTCAG